AGTCGTTTGCAGTTCCAAAATCCATTTCTTTTTGAGCTCTTCTTCCGCAGGAAAACTAAATACGGCCACCTTCAGGCCATTCTTGTAGTTTCCTTTGCATGTTGCAACACAGCATTTGTATGGCATAGTAAAAAAAAATAATAATAATTCGCAAATGTAAAATATTCACACTACCAGAGCACGAGGCAGGTGTTGACAAAGTGGAGAGACGACTTTCGTGACATCAGAGCGTTCAAGCAACCCTAGAGCCTTGGTTTTGTATGTAGGAGGTATGGTTTAGCCCAGAGTGTTCTCGAACACAAGCCGAAAGCTATATAAACCCTGCTGGCCAGCAGTTAGTACCGAATGTGTGCCTCGAGAGTGCGAGTTAGTGAGTGTGCCCTCGTCTAGCGAGCTGATAGTCAGTCATTGAGCGAGTGTCTCGAAGTCTAGCGCCGAGTTGGTTGTCGAGTGCATCGAAGAGTCTCTTAGTGTGTTTCGGTTAGTGAATCGTCAAGAGAGCGTGTTGAGCTCCGGGAACGACTGAATCAAAGAGTCAGGAGCCATGCTCTGTGTGTCGTCGAGTGCATCGCGAGTTGTAGCGTAGAGTCTTGAGAGTACGTGGAGTTTCGAGAACGATCGAGCAGAGTCGGGAGCTGTACTCTGGTGCTTTTGCAGTGAAGCTGTCTCCACCGTTATAGCCTGATAACCTGAAGGCTGTGTCGCTGATTGTGTCAGAGTGTTTACAGTAGTTCTTCGACGACTGTATTGTGATTTTGGAGGTGTTCTGATTATTACTGGCTAAATAAAGTGTGTTTCGATAATCCATCAAGTGCTGTCGTCGTTAATCACTCCAAATCTACACGAACCCCGTACGAACGTGAAAGACGAAAATAACGTAACAACTGGTGTCAGAAAAAAAACGCAACGATATTTTACAGTGCCTATAATATTCTTAGGACACTTAAACATCATTTTTATTACTTTAATTTTACGTCACAAACATTGGACAAAGAGCATAAATAATACTGTACTCACAAAAGCGTTATTATATGGTCAAAAAACGATTTTCGTAGTAACGATAAAGCAAAAATGGTAGATGTAATATTTATTCTGTATGATTTCTAGCTATGAATTTCAAATTCATGGGAAAAAACGATAATAGAGCTGGTAAAAATAAATTCATTCAGAATCCTAAGAGACGATAATAAACCTCCAAATACAGGACTGCAAAGCATTTAAAAACTTAAATATAATTTCTTTTTTTTTTATTTTATATGCAGCTCGAAACAAAATTGAAATAAATTACGCGCTTCAGAAGGCACGCAAGCATACGTCCATAAAATCCAGAAAGAAATGAATTTATATCAAGGACGAAATGCTACAGGGTGCTCTTGGGTACATAATCATAAAAGAGGAAAAAAAGATTTCTAATAAACGAATAAAAGAATACCGAAAATGGAAAAATAAAATATCAACAAAACATGTATTCCAATATCCAGTAGCTTGCAGAAGAGCATGCAGAAGAACGATATGTGTCAATCAATTGGAACCAGCTGTTACTTGTGCGTCAGAAGAAGTCGTGCTATGCGCTTAGTTTATGATATTCAAGTTATTGTTTGGTCCAGCTTCGTGCTTTTACTTTCAGAATGCCCATTTCATTTGAATAATGGATTTCGGGAAGGTAGTATATAGGGGCAAACTTTCTAAGCCGCATAATATAATTTTATTATGAAATTCGAAGTCTGCATATCGTGTTTTTTAAGTGTAAGAAACAGGTCTGGTGGTTGAAGAATTCGGTAACCTTATAAACTTTCCTAGCTGTCAAAATTATCGGAGTATTAAAAAGATATTACACATCGTAGTAGTGAAGTGAATGATGTTTTATTCTTAAAATTAACGGTTATTTAGCTCCTAGTTAATTCTCCGTGACTTCTGAATGTATTGTACTGGCTCAAATATACGGCAATGATTTTTGTTCATAAAATGTACTAGTTCCTAGTCAATTCTTCATGGCTTCCGAATATATTTTACTCTCTCAAATATAGGACAAGGACTTTTGCCCAGAAAATGTACTAGTTACTCCTTAATTCTCCACGACTTAATCTATTGTATCGCTTCAAATATTAGACAACGATTTTTGCTCATAAAATGTACTTCTGAAAATTATACCTATCTTATCAATGCAGATTAAAATTCAAAATTTGTATTAAAGCAGTTGTAGAACTATTCGCTCTGTTTTGAAGCAGGGAAGGCGAAACGTCAATTGTACCCTCGCATGGATTTGAACTATGGGATGTTCTGATTTTGCCTTACTTGCTACTATTTACACCATAAGAGCATGCATTATTCAAGCCAATAAACCTAATACCTTTATTACTTATCTGTTACAATTATTAAGTTTAAATCTCTCTTATATGCTTATCTTAAGTTCAGATTGTGATAGTTTGATTATTTATTAATCTTTACTAAAGAAAACTTTCAATGTAAGTACATATCTTTCGTATAAGCCTTCATACGAGGCCTTAGTATGCGCAAGACTCTTTTCTTCTGTCTTTTGCAAAGCATCTACAAAAGTGATTAGTCATCTTTTATGGGAAGAAGTTTTATTTCCGAGCTGACACGGGTAATCTCAAGAGCAGCTAAAAGCAAGGATTTAAGGAATTTAAGATAAAGGAATTAGTTACATTAATAATTTTAAAAATCGGTATCTTGCGATTTAACCTGTTATGTTATTTTTTTTTTGGTTCTTACTTAATCTCTTACAGCGTTTAAAACCTAATATTTCATATCAATAATGATTGCTAGTATAAGATTTATTCCCCAAAATATGGTTAGTTTGGCGAAAGAGCCTCTGTTAATGAGCGCATTGTGCTTGAAAGGCACAAGCTTCGTAGAAATCTTTCTCATAAGCAGATGTTTTCTTAAAGTAATCAGTTCCTCAATTAGACTATTATTATTCGGTTATCAATCTTGGAATTAACCGCTTTTTAGATTGCATCTTGCATTTTGTTTATGTTAACGTCCTTCAGCCGTATGCTTCTATGGTTTTACGTCTCATTATCTGAAGCATCTTTCTATCGCATATGCTACTCAAATACGCTCTATATTTTTATTTCATCTTCACCATGTGCCACTTTTAATACTTCCAACAGTTCACTTCGTTCACCAGCCAGCGAGTGCTCGAACCCGCTGAACTGTTACAGCTTCACCCAAATTTATATCCTGGCCAACAGGATGGCTGCATATGGTTTTGTGGTTTTTGTCATGTATAACGTAAACACGAGTCCGTTTACTATAAAAAGCTTTCCATGAAGGAATTATCTAACAGGCAGGTAGCCCTTGTGCATGTTTTGCAGTATTTGTATATAGTACAGCTTTTTTCATTTTTCGTGCAAATGCTGAAAGCTGCTCTGAATTACGATTGCCCATTTTTAAGCCGAAACTATCATACAGGCATTTATTACCTTCTCAATAATTAAATACTGCTTGCTTCTATCAGTTAGAAATTTATGCACATATCAGTTTCAGAGACCTTCAAGCACGGAAAACCACAATATTTTAGCCCTGAAAAAGTAAGAAACCTGAAGTTTGCATTGCGATTATTTGGTTGCAAGACATATATGAAAGAAAACATCAGTACAACAGCTGATAAGATAATTAAAATGTGTCGTTTGGTTCATATGAATACGAAAAAGCATGCGAGGGCTAAAGGTGATATTCCTGCTCGGAGAAATTTTTAAGAAGAACTGGTTCTTATTCACATTATACATATGAAAAAACAAAGCCGATGCGGTTATCCCATTTTCAGGTATTTGAACTCTGGTTGAAAAACTAGCGCTTAGCGACTTTCCACTTAGTCAATCATGAACTGTAAATTACCTGAAATGGACGTGAGATATAATATAAACTCCTTATAAAACGTAAATAACACTGACGACAATCTAAGTTTGAATGTTGCTTAGTTTTACAATTCTGTTTCGCGGTACTTTACTTACATCTTGTAATTATTACACCGAATCTATAACTTTAAGTAAAATGCCTTTAAAGGAACAAAACTTGCCCAAGTTTAAAATTCCTTGTATGTCGTTTTATTATATTTTCTTAACTAAATTTATCGAAATAATACATTAAAGAAACTAACTTTATGTTATTTTTAAAATTATCTTCATAATGAAACAAAAATACCCAGATATTTCCCCCTATTTGGCTTAGATTTTCCAATAAAATAAAATATGTGCATGAATTTATTCAAACTTTTGCATCCATATAAATTACGCACACTATTTTTGTAGAATTACATTATATACTTTTTCACTTTTAAAATATACAGAAAATATGCTGCCCAACCGGGATAGCGGTTAGTGACTTTGATTGCAGTACTGAAGGTCCTGGTTCTGAATCCTGGAGAAGCCATCGATGTTTGTAAATGTATAGTGTATGCACCACATGAGGGCACTCTAAAGATGTGGTGAACCGAAATTCCTCTCAAGAGGTTGCTGGAAGGGAAAAATGAGTGGGAAAACCTCGGACCGGTCCTCCCCGGGTGGTCTCTTTCAAAACTAACGGCGAAATTGAACAAATTCTTAGTGTTACCTGTATGGTGCCCAAGGCTCTTGCCAGCGACTGGCGCAATATTGCCTCCTTGCCACGATGAATTTCATGGGCTTGTTCTTATATTAGGCATGAGAGATTACTCATAACAACAACACACTACAAGATATAAAGCGTTCTCATATTAGAACTAAAAGTATATTCATATATAGTACCCTAATAAATATTTTGCTATTCCAACTGGGAATAGAGCCACGATACAGATAATTTCTACATTTACTTTCTACTGATTAAACATATTAAAATTTAAATGAGCCTATTTTTGCGATTCTTAAAATGAGAACTCTTTTATATTATTTGTTTATTTATCTAGATATTCTGCGTATTTTATTTAATATGTAATACTCATTGTTCTTTATTTTTACATGCAATTCTATTCTTTTAATGTGAATTTCTCTTAATTCTAGGTAACGTTGGCATGGTGAACTGGATCGAATGAAGATAACCGGCTCTAAATTGCGCAAATTTACAAGAAATTACAGAAATTATTGACGGATTATTAGATGTACATTACCTGCATATCAGTGTATCCTATAAAGAGTTTATGTGCATGAGCCACCAAAGAATTCAAAACATAAGTTTTTCTTGCAACAGAGCGACCACTTTTTATCTGTCTCATTAAAGTTCTTCTAGTATTTATATGAAGAAAAGCATTTTTCAGTAAGACTATAAGATTTTGATTATGAAGGCAGGTTCCTCATATAAAATAATTCATGAGATTTATTAGAATCGGAAACAATTACCGAATTAAAAAAGAACTTCGGGACAGTTATATGTTATTTATAGACTTATCTCAGCAAATTTTGTATAATTCATAATCTTGATTAGTTTTATAACTCTTTCGACTGAATGCCAATACACAAAGTACATCCGCTAAGTAGCATACAATTGGTAAATGACATCTTTTATGAAAGTTTTGAGGTATTACTTTGCATTTCTAAACTCAAACTTTCAGAATATCGTAAGAAAATCTAAGAAAGTTATTGATGTTTCTATTTCGGATACGTGAGTGGGCTTTTGAATGCATCAATCATCATAGCAAATATATTTGTAGGTGTAACAAAAATATTTATAGATGTTATGTCGTTAAGAAATCTCCAAATCCGATGTCTACATTGCAATTCTTATCCGTTTTCGACTGAGGCACAAATGTGAGTTGATGTTAAATTTCATGGTATAAATATTTATTGTGAGAAAGACATAAGAAGTGTTTGCTTCTGTCTGATATGAAATGAACAGAGAGGAGAGGAAAAAATTATACTGATACTCTTATAAAGTATAGTAATTATGAATCTAAAGGATTTATCTTCAAGATTATATAATATTGAATACCTTTAAAGGCACAGTTTTAAAAAGCATTAAAGTAAAATTTGTGATAAATAATGTGAATAGGAAGTTACGCAAAAAATGTATTAAAAACAGTTTTGCCATGTTTCTACTGCAAAACGCACATGTTTTTAATCATTATCTTGGACTTACCTCTGCGCATTTCATATCAAAAAGTTAAATATTTTAATGCACATATATCTCATATACAAGACAAAAAGTACCATGAGTTACTTTTCTAATGATGGAAGTATTAGCTGAAAGCATTTCTATTACCATATCTTGATATGAGAGATTATCACATATCGTTGTGCAAAAAAGTATTGTGGTGTGTTCGACTGTTCGTTTGTACTATTTCCAGTAGTTAAAATTGTGAGAATGTTTGAAGATTTTTCGTTTCGTTTTTGGAAATGCTAACTGTATTTATAACATTATATTTAGGTATCCGATTGAAAAAACAATGTATTACCATGAGTACGTGACTGATGTTTTCTGAAAGGAATTATTTTAAGCAAAATCATAAATATTCAACTAATTTATCAACCTGGTACATGCATGAAATTACATAATAAACACTACAAAACATACAAATAATGAATATACAGCCAAATCCACTTAAGAAGTTTCCGTTTTTAAAGTAAGTATAAATTAAAGTTTGTAAAACAGCTTCTCAAGCAACTGCACTCTTTCTAATGGAAGAGACTTTATGATTCAGAATTGAAATTTTTCATTTTTTGGTTATTATGTTTTAAGTTAAGAACTTTTAGTAGCTTAAAAAATAACGATGTTCAAATTTCAGGTGTGAAAACTACATGCCTACTATAACAGAATAGATGAAATTACTTAAGTATCTTTTCTTCACCGAAAACTTTACACTGAATTTCAAATTACAAACTAATTCCGATTTTAAATTTCAGCATGAGTGAGCCAATTTTGAAACACTGTCTCAAAATTTAAAAACTATAGAAGAAAAACATGTCTTTCAACTTCGCTCGGTGTCAGTTTGAGAGACTTTTTCCACTTATTTAGTTTCCACACTCTTTTTCAAATAAACATGAACATGAATATTCAAAGTTTTCTTCATCTGCGTTCACTCTGAAATTCAAAATGAAATTTTAATTTTACGAAATCAACTTCCACCATATGCACTGACACTCCTTCAATTTAGATTTCAAATTCGCTTTTGAAATTTGCATGTTTTAGCAAATTCTTATTCCTGTTTTAGAGTTATTTATCTCATGAAAGATACTACAATCAATTAAGAACTGGTGTCTGTTTTAATTTTCGATTATACTTTTCAACTTTTGCAAAACATTTCCGACAAAATGCTTTTAAAACATTCATTTTATCCAACATGTTTTAAAATTTCTAAAATATTTTGCATAGCTTCCAGGCTTATTTATTTCTTCTCCCATTAAATGCAGCATTTTAATATTTTTGCAAGAAATTATTCTTATTTTTTCATCTATAATTAGATAGAGCTATTTAAATTCTTTCTTATTAACGACGATTAGTGTAATTATTGTTCTTTGCGTCTGACACAACCAGTTTTCTCTTTGCGAAAATGTCTTGCTTGAATTTTACAGTAATAACGCCACAAGCATTTCATTGCATTTTGTGAGATTTTAACCTGTGTAAAAATATACTTTTCTAAGAATAATATCAATCTAATTTTCCTGTCTTATAATAATAAACATTTCCTACAGCATATATTTAATTCTGGTGATATTAAGGTTCTGTCAGTGAGGTTTTTAACAAACGTGCAATATTTGTCTTATTATTACATTTGAAAGCTAGGCGTGCCGTTTTAGGAGGCTTTTATCACTTTATAAGATTTCATGTAAATCTTGCAATTAGCAACAAGAAGTTATATTGTGAGAAATACCTAATCACAAAATTCTTCAGAATAACTTCTAAAATGAAAACATAGCTAAGTTCATAAAAAAAGGATAAATTAACTTTTCTTAATTTTTAATATAAGGCCTTAACAAGGTTTGACAATAAAACATAAATGAATCATATTTATATAAACACCCCTAATTAAGGTGTAAAAATTGAAATGGGAAACTTTGCATCAAATTGTAACAAAGAAATTTTTAATAATTAAAATATGTGTAAGAATTATTAATCTGACTCAAATCACATAATAATTTGTGATATAATAGTGCTAAAGCTTTTAAAATTTTGTATTATTTGTAATTTTAAAATTTGTAATGTATTGATTTAGTAATAGTAATGACTGAAAAGTAAAAAAAAAATGTTAAATAGATAGAAATGATTTTGCAAAAGGCATATTAAATCTGTTATATACCTTCCACTTATTTTCAAACGGAAGAACGAATAAATTATTTAGTTAATTTTTAAATGCAGTATTTATTGATAATTGCGTTTAAATTAAGATAATATTGTTTAATTAATGTACATTCCAGTTATTTTACGTTAATGTTGTACTCTCTAATGCTTTCTACATTATTTTGTTTAAATTCGCGCAATTTATTAAATAGTTTTAGAATATTTTAATAGTTCTCATCTGAACAGATTTACAAGTCAATTAAAAACTGAGCATCTTGTAAACTGAATGTACGAATGCGAAATATATGAAATATATCAACAGCATATCAATAATATTTTTGACATTAAAATGAGTGAGCAAATAAAATGAGGAGCTTCTAAATGAATTGTCATAGGATTCTGAGACAGAAGAAAGGAACCAATAATTTATTATTTTTCAAGTTGAACGGAAATTTAAAAAGTGCAGCCATTTCAGTCCATAAAATTTTCAAAGAGGGGATGGATTTTTAATGGAGGCATTAGCAAAAGAAGCGAAAATTTTACCCTCTTTGTAATGTTTCAATCCATTATCAGTATCTTCAATTGCATCCATGTTTCAATGAACCGCAGTACTTACAAAGTGCTTCTGTTTAAAATGAAAGATATATCTTTGGCTATCCAGTAAAATAAAACTTTTTCTCTTGTTCTTATCGAGTATATACCTGCACAAAAGCAAGAAGAGGAAAGAAAGAATAATCAGTGGTTTCCTGCTTCGCAACCTATTAAAGGAGAAATGCATTCTGATCTGCGAATTCTTTTCAGTGGGAAACGTCTCTAATTTTCTAGCGTTCATTAATTTAAAATCAGCACAATTAATTATTGTTTCAGTGCCCTGACAGTTTGGTGATACAGTGTGTTACATCAAACTAACGGTCAGGGTATCTACTGATTTATTTTATATAAAGATAAAGTATAATGTCTCCTGATTTGTTTACGTTAAAACCTGTATTCGTCACATCATGGAAATTAACAACATTGTTATTTATTTAATGTTCTAAAGATAGGCAAGAATAATATATTCTTCAATACTCACAATTGAAGAATACTATTGCCAAATCACAATTTTGAGCTCTTGTACATGTATGCTTTGTATCACATGTTAGTGTATTGAGTAATAAAGTACCGTGTGCAGTATATGTAATGTTCTACTTTTTTCACAGTAATTTCGCTCACACATTACACTCAGAATATAACATGTTGAGGATAAATAAATTTAAATCCTACTTATGCTATTTTAAAAATATAGTTAATGGTTAATATATACAAAGGAAATTTTAACTGTAATTTTCAAAAGACATTTTATAAAATAAGCTTATGTATTTTAAAACAAAAATTGCTACATGTTTCTTCCATAAATAAAAGCATAGATTACTTGAATTGTTGCATTTTTGACACTTAAAAAAAATTTAAAATGTTTACTTATTCCTATATAATTCTGTATGTAATACTGAATTCTACACTGATTTCTGTCTATTGTAGTACACATTCCTGGTACGAAAAGCATTATGATTAAAATCTTAAACTTTTGCGAACGTGAAAGGAATAGCACATGTGAAGTGTTGGCCCAACTTTACAAATTTATGAACACGCATGTACACAGGGTACCATTTTTCACAGGGATAAATTTAAGTAAAAAAGTAAAATGCATTATTAGGTGTAACATAGAAGGCATTTAGACAAGCGTTTTATGTACATTCGCTTCTTTTAAATCATGAAGAATATTCATCTTGAATCTATGCTTTTTCTTTAACCTTGATGTTTTCTAGTAGGCATTAAAAATTAGCAGTTGCTTTTCCTCTTTAATATTTGTTGTAAATTAATAACTATAAATTATATGTTGTTTATTTTTGCTTAAACATTAATCAGAATCTGCTGTGGTAGTGATTCTGCTAGGAGTTATAATGAAGAAATAAATTATTTTCAGAAATCTTTCTTTTCCAAAAACGGGGCGGGGAGACAAAACATTTCCGTTTCAATAGTAGATTACTATGAATATAAATCCTACGCTTGCTTTCATTAAATTGCCGAATATTTCAACTAAATGGCCATACCAGAGACAAGAATATTACATATAAAATTTAGGATTAAAGTAAGGGATTCAACATAAGAAATTTATAGCCATTGCCGCGTCTTTATTTTAAAACTTTAAATGCAAGATAATATTTTAGCTCCTCTAGTTCGCATTGGGAAACTGGCAGAAAGGAGTGGTAAAATCGTGTGTAAAAAATGTGATAAGGCTTTTTGTCACATTTTTTCACACATGATTTTTGTCTTCTGTGTTATTTTTCGGTTTGCCGAAAAATAACACAGAGGACAGAAATCATTCAAGAAAGCGTACGGACCACCTAATGCCGAGCGCAGATGTTCGCGAAGTGACACTCCACTTTCGTCAAAATACTTACAAAAATGTGAGTCAAAAACAGGGGGGAAGTTCTATGTATTTCTCTTTCAAGCTCGCCGATCGATTAAATTCAATTCACGTTTTTCATGTCTCGAAACATGCCTTCGAGTTTATATTAGTTTCACATATAGTAGTGTTCTAACATACACATTTGGGCACAAAGTCAGTGTTATAAAAGTATACTGCGGTATAACATACGCATCTGAGCACAAAAAATTTTTCTTAAATGGCATGCAGATATTTTTCCATGTTTCGATTTAATGTCTCAAGTTATGCTAAAGTGCCAAGTTTTCATAAAAGTACACGAATAGCTTAGCACTTAATTAAATTTTAGTTCAGCAGTGTTAATTTAGGTTTATACTTAGGGATATCGGGTTTTAGGGAAAATAAATAAATAAATAAATTATGTATTTATTTTTTTTATTTTTTAATAATATGAAATCCACATTAATTTCCATAAATTTTCTTAATTTAATTTTAAAATATTTTTTTTTTAAATTTCAAAAAATTGCAAACTATAACCTGCAAAATTTCTACACAATGGTAAAGTAAATAATTTTAAGCATATTTCAAAAAATGAAATCATTTATTTTTAAATTTCGAAAGTAATTGCAAATGTAACAATTAAAGTGTTTAGAATTCGCAGTGTTTAGTGATGATCTCAGAATTCGGACTCTTAGATGCTTTTCATACTAATTTTATTTCTTTTTTTCTTTTTCGGTGATTCAACGAAATCCAATAAACCAATTTATACTTAATTATTTAGTTAAAAACATCGCATAAACAATGTTACAAAAAATAAAATTGTATTAAAAGTTTTAAGAATATTATCTAAGCAAAAATGATAATTGATTAAGCTTGAAAGTAGAAATTTCGTTTACTTCCATTAACATAATATAGCTGCATCTTACTCACTTATCCTTTAAATCAGCACGTTTCTTACTTGAACATATTTTCACTTGCATTTATTTAATTTTTGCTTTGCTTATTTAATTGCTGCGCGACGCGCTAGCCATTATAGTTACAACTAGGTTTACAAAATTACACATTCTTTACATTAAACACACATTTACATTAACACAGTTGAAAAACACTATATGTATATACAAGTATTTTCAAAAACGTACTAAACCATAGTGATAGAAAAGGCATTATATACTGAAGTCTGCTACAAGATATGTGATCAAACAGTTAGCTACCAAAGTGATTCAAACAGAAATTTTAATTGTTTACTATGTGAGAAATAAGGAAACGTAGAAAAAATATCTATACATCATTATATCTTGTACTTCTTTTTAACAAAATTTTGTAACTAGTATATTTGCATACCATAAATATGGGAAACGGAAACCGCATGTATACTTTAGACCAGAGTTTCTTAAACTTTTTTTCTGTGGCTACCCCTTTTTATCACTGAGATTTTTTGACGACCTCAGGACCCCCTAATTTTTAGGAAAATTTTGTGGGACCCCATAAGCATTGCGCAAATCCGACACATGCATGAGTTAAACTGATAATTGTTTCACTTGTATTGTAATATAATATTGCAATTTTAGGTTATTAACTTTAGTTTCTAATTTTAAGACATAGAACAATCTGAAAATTTTCAGTAAGTAACAGACGAAATGACAACGTCACGTGCAAAGCAAGCAAAATGAACGTTTATATTATAAAAAGCATGCGTAGGAACGTTTTCGTTTTTTAATTTATCTGTATTGTCTTATATTTATCTATTTTCAGATTCATTGTGTAAAAATATTTGGTAATTGTAAAATTATTATAATGAGTTAAAGAAATATCAAAACTGCTAAAATTTTTGGCTACCTCTGCTGCAGGTTCCGCGACCCACAGTTTAAGAAATTTTACAAAGTTAAGAAATAATGGTCATTTTTACAGATGGTCATCTCAGGGAGGTGAACAGTGTACGAAATGTGCATTTTCGCTGTCAGCACGTCTATAGTTTCCTTTTTGCTTTATTTTATATTATATATATGAAAGGGCTATTTAAAAAGTGTTTTGTGAACTGCGACAGCTATTCTCATTCGTTTAAAATCTGCTTTTCACACGTATTAATATTTTTCCCGGAAACTTACATATTTTTATTAAATTCTAAAGTTTAAATCTTTGGTATGTTCGACGATCGAAGAACTAAACTAAGAAAATCTGCAAGGGAATTGTTTTCGAGATAATTCTCTAAATATTTTTCTCACACCTTGACCACTTTTAAAACATGTAGCTTAAATAAATTTAGTATTTTTTGAAAATTATGAGGTATTACTATCTAAAATGTGGATTTGTAGCCAAAGACTTCATGTCCCGAAAGATTTTAACCGTGGTCATTCTTTGAAGAAACTAGGGAAAAAAGCAGGTTTAATAGTTTGGAGCGATTTTGAAAATTATTAAATCATTTCAGCTCGGTTTTGGATCAAATTATGTATGTTAGAGAGCAGTGCTATGCGCAGGTATAAATCTAAAACATATCTTAACTCACACTTTAAGAACATGAAAAATTGAAATTAAATTTTGCCGATTGGCCAGCTGGGAGAAAACAAAATAGAACTATCTTTTTTCTTTATACTTATTTTTGTTTTTTATATTATTTTTACTTGCTGTTCTTTGCTGCTACTGCTAGTTATCTTTTGAATACTACTCTTGCATTACGTAAGTGATAAACGTTATATTAACTAGGGTGAGCTTCTTCAGAGAGAATGTGATTTAGGCGACCTATTTCGGTCTTTCTTTCGAACAGCAGTTCCAATTCTTTAACAGTAATAAATAGTAAACTGATGTTACAAACTTGGTTAAATGTCTTCAGTGATATATTAAAATGAAACAGTTAAAAGGAAAAGGACGCGCACTTACTGACAAACTTTGTAAATAAAGTGCATGAGCAGTTCAGAAAAAATAAAAAAGAGAAAATCAGCCATTTAACTTCGAGCAATAAGAACAAGACCCGAAATTTTCTCTTGAGATGACTTCTTTCACCCGAAAAGATTACCTTGTTTCTGTAAAATTGGAGTTAGACCTGTTTTACAACCCTGGATAAATAAAAAGGCTTATGGCTATTAATGTTTCCGTCAAAATTTTAATGTCTCAACTTACCGTTAGATATCACTATGAATTTTGTAAAGAAATATTTTATCTACTTACTTTCAGATATATCAAGTTATCATGGTTACCGTATTTGTTACAAGGTAGAATGCTTCTTTTCTTGCAATGAAATCATAAACTCAGATTTCATTCGTAGCTTAAGTCATACATTTACAGGTGATTAAGATAAGGAGGAGAGACAAGGATTTTCTTCCCTTGATACTTAATATTATTGATACAGGCTCATTCAGAAGAAAAATGAGAGAGTAACGGCGTACCCGTTCTAGGGTAACCAAGTACAATAGACTCCCGATTATTGTAATGCTGGTGATGACGCAGAAAGCAGTTAAAAACACAACGGAGAGGAAGAATTAATATTATATGCAATATTACAATGACGTCTCTGCAACTCGGTGAGCCAATCCCCAGTTAATCGCAAATCGAGTGCAGATGTTAAAACATAATTATTTTAACTGAACCTTTTGTTTTCGTTTTCCCATATGTCGAATTAATTTAATCACAGCATTTGATGGCTGGTATTAAGACTTGATAAATATCTATACAGTCGAGATGGAAAATGTTTGCATTAACTCGTTTCCAGAACGGAAGCTAAACTTCATAATACTGAGTTTTGCTGTCGAGATG